ATTATATTCAAAAGTGCATTTCCATTTAAATGTAGAAATATGGGGAAGCATTCTTAACTTTAGTGTTATGGAAATAACTTTAAATAGCTTATTGGTTACCTCAATGCCTAACTACTAAATTGAGAGAAAATATACTTTGAAATTTAAATATAGTTTCCATATGTCTGGCTTGCTAATTTTTATATAATAAAAAACTTTTTAATGGATGTGTTCCATTTCTTTGTTGGATTTCAAAGTAATGTTAAAGCAAGAATGAAATGATTATAAATATCTTATTATTATGCTCTCACACTGCCAGTATAACAAATGATTTCATATTTTTTGGCAAGCTGGCATTCCTTGCTATAAGCTCAGATGCAACCATTGTGGTTTTTAAAATGTATTTCCAGAATACTTGAAAGTTTATGACATTGCAAATAGTAAGGAATGTTTCCCTTTTGGAGAACTTTAAATTAGAAGGCTAACCCAAGTCAATGACTTTCAAATGAAGGAGTTAAAAACACGTCTAAACATGATATTATCCTGTTTGCTATAGGTTGAAGACCAAGAGCAGTTTTCTCTGTCTGCTCAAAGCAAATCTGAATCAACAAGGGAGCACACAAACAAACAAACGACGCTTCTGGCCCCCATGTTTATTTCCTAGTCAGACCCCAAATGCCCTTACACTGTGTAGCTGCCCTGAATTGCAGGGCCTCATCCCTCCCGACAAGCCGCAGATAACCTCACAGGGACACTGCTTACCCTCCGCCGGTGGTGGCCTTTCCTATCCAGTTTCCATGGAGACAGATCTTGGAAATCATCTAAAAGCAACTATTTTAAAAGGCAGGATGTTAAAATCCTTACGCTGCCTTCACTGATTTGACATCTGCTTTTATCGAAACTGAGACGGTAATCTTAAGACAGCCAGCTGAGAATGAATTCAGTGCTTCATTTCCATCGCTGGAAACCTAAATCCATCTCTGGGCACATAAGGTGACCAAAGTACCCACGCTACCTTTTAATACCAGTCTTTGGGTGTTATTGCTTAGGCAAGACCTGTGCAGCCAACTCACACTTTGGATTTAATTCTATACTTAGAATCTGATTATTTGGCTAAAGGAATGCTTTGAAAAATCAGCATATAGCAACTTTTAAACGTTAAACATCTGTCTCCTAGCGCACAGATGGGCAGTTAGGTGGGTCTCCCTCAGAGTGCGATCTTATCAACTACCATTGTTGCCAGTGGAACCCAAAACGCGGCTGGGGGCAGCAGTGGGCTGCCCCTCAGATGAAATTGAACTACTAGCTGTCTCCAGTGAAACAAACTGTGATTTTCAGCAGTAGCCATAGATGAGATTAGAATCATCCTTACTATCTCTTATCTGGGTCTCCTGGTTCCTAATGGCAAGGGGGAGAGATTATATAGAATATAGGGTAGAACCATGCATCTAAGGGGACTCATGTTTTCAGGGTTTGCAGATTCTAAGAGAAAGCTTACATTTTCTGCATTTATTTTGATAATGATCTTTAGAGCTGTGTTAGCATTTAGGGAAATCTCCTTTTAAGCAGTAATATATCAAAATAATTTGTTTTTTATAGAGAAGATATGATTTACATCACTTCGAATAGGGTAGCCTCAATTACTATTCTTGGAGATCTTAGAGAATGTATCTTGAGGAAATATCCCTTTATCATGCAAGGTCAAGACTCTAGGATAGAACATAGAGATCAGATTTCATTTTTTCTGTTTTTACTTTGTTTGCGATAGTACACACAGAAAATAAGCTCTCAGATGTGTGGTGGTGAGAGACTCGTCTTTTCTAGAGTCAATTTCTCCATCAGTACAATTCGGGTAGCTCCTAGGACTATTGTGATGAAGGAAACAATGTATGCAGAGTTTAGAAAGTGTTATACTGTAGGAATACTATCTGAGGTGTGTGCTCTCTGGGATAATGGTTGGGTTAAAAGAGGCACTACCTTGGTTGGTATTGCTTCTTACATAATGTCTTCAAGCTCTGATTTCCTTACCATAAAACAGTCCCTGCTTTATAAGTTTATTGTGGGGAGAAAAGTGACATAATAAATAAAAGAGCAATCATAGTAACTGGCACATACAAATCATAGGTATTCATATTCTGTTCTTAGTATTATGGTTCGTGTATATAATGTAGAATACTTCTTCAGCATTGAACAATGTAACATTCTGAGCAAAATTTTAAATTCTTCCATGACAATTTTAAAGAGGGGGGTGCTGTCTACAGGGATAATTATTCCAAGAAGATAAAACAGCTTTCTAATACTGTCTTGTGTATGAATCTGAAGTTGACTGTTAACGTATTCAGGAAAGCTTTTATGAGAATTAATTCAAGCAATCAGGAGCAATAAAAGCAATTCTGAGTTAATTAGAGGCTTATCAAGTTAAATGAATAGCGAGGATTTTAAGATTATCTGAATTTGTTTTAAAAAAAAAAACATATCTGAATTAGTAATCTGATAGTGACGCTGCCAGTGTTGGGGTAAGGCTCTTTCGAAGGCACCTGTGGACCCACTGGTACTTCACACCTTCAAAAGTTTGCTGTGCGATTAGGAGGATCAGAAAAGGCTTGCTGTTCGCTTGCAGGCAATTGGAATCATTCAAGGCAACAACTAGATGGTCCTGGGCCAACACTGCCCTCTGGTGTTTGATTTAGGGAAGTGGCAACTTCCCATGGGTAATGGTAGACAATTCTCAAAACCAAAAAGGTATCTCCAGGGACTTCTCCCATCCATTCTCCTCTCTAACCAATCCCCTTGCTAGAAAAGTGTGCACAGGACACCTCCCTTCATTGTCTGGTCCCACTCTTAAGTTAAATTCATTACTTTTGCTAATCTCTCATGCACACATGTATCATTTATACTCATTTTCCTTCTCACCTGTCTTCCAACTATTTGCTTATTAATGCCAAGAAATCTCTCTCTCTCTCTTTCTCTCTCTCCCTCTCTATCCCCACATATCTTTATTTCCCTGTTTCACTCCATGTAAAAGAACAATAATTATGACCATTTGCTGGGGATGAGGAGAGCGACTACATTTGGAGCAAAGTGCAATACTGCTGTAGTTCTGACATAGAGCTCATTACAGAGACAATGCGGTCAGCCTCCAGAACCTTCCAGAGCACACATAAGGTCTTCAGACCCTCCAGCAGACTCTTGGTTCTTCTGTAATTAAGCCTGCTTTGACTCAAGTAAAATCAAAGGATTGACCAGGATTACAGATGGTGGTGTTAGAACATTTTTCAACTGCATTGTTTTTCTGTTTATGGCATTACGGTGCTTCTTAATGGGTCCCCCATTCTACTGTGTCTGGGCTCAGGAACAGTTTCTCTCTGGCTATAAAATCAGCACTTGTGAGCCCGCATCGACCCTATTCGTTTCTCCATTACCTTTTATACATCCCCCTGCTTCGTGTCACTTGAATGAATGGGCATTCCTTGCATTAACCAGAACATGGTAAGTGACTCGACGCTAATAGATACACCCCGCAATCTCTTTGCTTGGCATGGTAGCGGTTTATTTCTCGCTCGGCCGCAGTCGGGCAGGTCAGGTGGCCCTCCTCCATCTTGTGGTTGTGCCGTCTGAAAAGGATGGACTCCAAGCTCCTTGCCCAGGCCAGACAGGGATGGAGGGGAACGACGCTATCTTTGAATTGCCTCGTCTTCAGAGTGACACATATCATTTTCAGTGGCCAAAAGTAGTCACATGGCACCAAACCTAAACTATAAGAGAGTATAGAAAAGTGGAATGGGGGTGGGTAAATAATTGCCACTACACGTTTCCCTCTGCTTTTTTGGTCCGAACCTTGATTTAAATTCTTGTTTTTTTGTTGGCTTGATTTGTTTTGTTTTTGATCTTGAGCACGCCTACTGCCACTTTTCCTTCCCACTTAGCCATCTTTTTTCTTAATGATTCTTTTTCCTCTCCTTCCAAGTCCTCTCCATACTTTAAACAAACCAAATGTTATTTCCGCCCCGAGACTACTTTATCATTCTGACCCTATTTCTTTGCTCTATTATTCTTCTCCCAGACTTGACTTCAACCTCCCGCCCGTGTTTTTCAGGATCTTTGGTTTCCTTGTATAAATTCAACCTGCAAATCTCTACAAAATCGATTTTTTTGAAATCTCTAATTTCATCCAATTGCCATATTTTCTAAGATTTTAAAGTGACTTGCTACTAAGTTACTAAATTCAACTCATCCTGGCCCAGCCTTAATGTACGCTAATTCATTCTTTTCTCCTTGACAAGATTAGTCCCTACAGTCTGATCCCGCTCTATGTGAATATGCAGGAGCACTTGCAGACAGGCATCTGACTTCGTAGCAGTGGAGGCATGTACTTCCTGTTCCAAAGTGTCAGATCCTTCAGGGTCACCTGTGTGGGTCACTTGGTTCAGTGTCCAAATCTTGACCTCAACTCAGGTCAGGATCCCAGGGTCATGAGACTGAGCCCTGAGTTGGGCTCTGTGCTGAGGGTTGAGTGTGGTATCTGCTTAGGATTCTCTCTCTTCCTCTACCCCTCTCCCCAGCTTGTATTCATTCTCTTTCTAAAAAAGCAAAAAACAAAGAAAACAGAACACAGAGTATCAGATCCTTCAGGACCTTGGTCAGGGTGTTTAGCACAGTCCTGGGCATGACATAGCACATAAAAATCTGATGGACTGCATCCTTCGTTGTGAAGTGTGTTCTTTGCAGAATTCAATTTATCTGTGCAATTTAGTTATTATATGAAAAATAATACCAATAAAATGAAGGAACAATAGTATAAATGGAAGCAGCCTTTTGAAAGAGAGAGGAGTAATATATTCCTTCTGGATTGTGGAAGGAAAAATTATCACACTCAGTCACACTATTTGGAGTAAAATTTATATTCGTATTTCGTCCCATTGAATTCATGTTGTTACGATGACCCTCAGCAAATGCATCCAGGAGTCATCTGTGCAGTGGTAACAATTTGCTTACAAGAATTGTTTTCTCATTTTACACAGCTTCCTCCAGCTTTGCACCACAATTTGAAAAGAAGAGTTATAGAGAGATTCAAGAAATCCCTCTTCAGCCAGCAGAGTAACCCTTGCAATTTGAAATCTGAAATTAAAAAGGTACCGTATTCTATATCTAGGAATTCTTCTTTGGCTAACAAAACCACATCGGGGAGTTAAATTTTATGCCTTCTCTGCTTTGTAATTTAAACTCTGTCTTCTATTAAATGCTATTATCCTTGTTTGTTTTGGGCCTGCCAAGCTGCTGTAAAAAAAGGCACCACAAACTGGGGAACTTGTGAACAGCAGCGACTGCTCTCATTCCTGAAAACTGGAAGTCCGGTATCAAAGTGCCAGCGCGGTCCCTTCTGGTGCAAGCCCTCTTCCCAGTAGCAGACTTTTGATTTCCCTCATCCTCACAGGGCAATGGGAGCAAGGAAACTCTGGGGCCTCGTGATCAGGGCACTTTTTTATAAGAGCCCTTCCACGAGGGCTCTGTCTTCATGACCGAATTACCTCACAATGGCTCCCAGCACCATCACCTGGGGGTTGGGTTTCGGCATAAGAATTTGACGGGACACAGACTTTCAGACCACAGCACTGCTTATGATACTAAATCAAGGATATCTCTGCCTCTAATTGTCTCACCTTTATTTCTATGGCCATCATCTCAGAAAGTTGCTTCAGTACGATTGAATGTTTTCTGAAGAAGAAATGTTATTAAGTATCTTGGATTCAAAGTATATTTTAGCCTTTTTAAAAAGAATTCTATATTTTTAAGAGAATCCAATATTTTACTAGAACATTCTCCAGTAAGCCCCTAAATTGAGCTGTACCACCCAAGCAAGTCGTTTAACCATGTGAAGCTGTGATTGTTATCACCTATGGGGGTAGAATGTACCACGGTTGACCCTTGAACACCATGGGGATGAGAGGCGCTGACCATCTGCTCCTGCACCATTGAAAACCCACATATAACTTGTGACTTCCCAAACCTTAATTACTAATAGCCCACTATTGACCGAAAGATTTACCAGTAGCATAAATAGTGGATTAAAACACATTTAGTATATAATGTATTACATACTGTGTTCTTACAATAAAGTAAGCTAGAACAAGAAAATTATAAGGAAGAGGAAATACATTTACAGTACTGCACTGTAAGAAATCCACGTATTTGGACCCATGTAGTTCCAACCCATGTTGTTCTAGAGCTAAATATATTTCTAAGTTTTTCCCATCTTTGACACTCTAGAATCTCCTAGACCTCAGGTGTTAGTAAATATTTCTTTCATACACACAAATATTAAATCACAAAGAGATTAAATCAACCAGTTGGAAAGAAAATTGTCTATCTCTAATTAGCACAACTGGAGAAGAGGAAATCCGTCTGTCCTGGTCGGCGGCCATTTTGATTCAGCCCTTGGAACTGGTCACAAGCTTCCCTTTTCCTGTCCCTGAAAGGCCCCAGACCCAAGCAGTTTGGCCCTGTTGCAATTTTACATATACATTTTAAAAGTTTTATTGTACACTTAAACTTTCAAACCGTCATGCCGCCAATGAACTTTTTCTTTAAAGTTTCTTTTTCCTTTACTGTATCTAACCTTAAGCATAAATTTACTCCTTACTCGGTCAGTATGATGGACTCTTTGATAAGCAATGCAAACAGTATGTGTTTGTTCTGTTGACTTACATCAGTGGTGTCTGCCGATACACACACAGGAGATGGAAAAACAGACACAGCAGCAGGTAAACACACCATAAACCCTACCTCATCCGAGATGAAAGAGCACAATTTCTTTCATGGATTGTGTTGGCAAATAGGGCCAAGGAACAAAGCTCAAGTAGATCAAAACAGAAGTGGATGGGGCTGCAGATATTTATTTTATGATATTTACATATTGTATCACGAATACCAATAAATGTCTTTTAGGATGACAGAGGCTCAAATCTCCCATGAAAATATTACGTGTTGCTAGATTTTCATATACTTATTAAAAATACATGCAGAATAATCCACTTTGTACACAAATCCCAGCTTTAAGAGATGAAAGTGCTTGCGGCAAGCTTGCATGAAGGTGCCTCTGACCTCCCCCTCACCACCACCTCCAACCCCCCCAGCTAACCTCCCCCTCACCACCCCACATCCAGCGTCCCCAGGCCACGTTGAGATTTTCCACCAGTGCATGGCCTTCCTTAAAGCAAATTATTCTCTCTTTGTCACTTAGATTTTTGGTTTGCATCTCTTCCTTGCTGGCTTTCTTTTCTCTCCTGAAAGAAAAAAGATTCTCTCCTGTTAAACTGACCCTACCCACCTTGTAGGCCTTCCTCTGTACAGTGGTGGCTTCTCTCAGAGAACTTACCTTCTGCCCTTGGTCTGGGGAGTAAACACGGATGAATGGGGTGATCAGGGGCATTCAGGGAGCCCAGGTGAGGGAACTCAAGGGGGCAAAGACATACCCCTTTCTTCAACTTTGTTTAGAGGCAGATTTCTCCTGTGAGGGATGCTGTAGCCTCCTCCTCTGATATTACAAGCCTGTGGTGGTTCATACCATCATGGCATACACCCTCCTATCATGGAGACAGGCCTCCTCTTCTGTGCGTGAAACAAATCTCCTGCCTGGAATATTAATATACATTCTGTGCTCCACCACTGAACTGAAAGGCCAGCTCCTCCATAAAAATCTCCCTCAAGTTTCCCCATCCAGAATTAATCTTCCTTTTCTCTGTGCTTCAGTCACTTTTTTACTCACATTGTTGTGTTCTAAATAGCGTTTTCTGTGGCTTACATTTCTGTTTCTCCCGAAGGCAGTGAGTGGGTCATACTCATCTTTGATTGCCCACAGTCTTGCACAGCGCCTGGCACATGACAGGACTTAATGTATGATCATTGACTATAGAATATATTCTATATTGATAAGTATATTCTGTATAATATAGTCTATATAGATTCTATTCTATATTGATATGTATAATATATAGTGATATATTTAATATTTATATATTTTTATATGATTATAAAAAGAAACCTCCTACCCTGCTCTAGCCTGCTCTAAACACAAATGAGAAGAGTTTGTGACCTCTGCTTTTCTCCCTTTCTGGTATAGTCTTTTACTAGTGACAGTTTTTGTTCAGAAATGGATTATCATCCCCTATATAATCTTTTTGGAGTAGCCGATTAGCCTTTGACTATGAACACAGTCACCCACACCAGGGCCACGGAAGAAGCGAGTGGTGACAGCACATGAAATGCATTTGATTCCCACCTTCCACTCTGAAACTTGTTCTGAAACCAGGACCTCTGTGCCTCCGGTCAGAGGAACCGTTATGGGATGATCGTGCCTTCCTTCTGATAAATGGCCCAAGACCCAGCAGGGTATACAGAAGAGCAAAGAAATGGAAAAGCCCTTTTCTAAGAAACTAAGCTCATTATTTATGGCTTAACTTCAGCTGATCTTCAGGCCAGTCTTCTCAACCTGGGCTAAAATTGTAGCGGAGTACAGCATGGGAGTGATTGTGTAGAGTTCTGGGAAACTAGGATTTTTGACATGGGAGAAAGGAGAAACAGAAACAAGATAGAATATATTAATTCAAATTGGAGTTGGAAATATCACTATGCATAAGTATAAATTCATGATCAATCTTTTCTTTGAAAAAATATACATACTTACTAATATTTCCACTCAGTTGTCCAGAAACTAAGCATGCAGGGGTGAGCTCCCTGAGCACCCAGGGCTCCAGGAGATAGAGCTGATTGCAGTCCTGAAACAGGAACTGAATGAGATTAGAATGGAATGTCTTGACATAATAGACATAATAGATCACATAGTGAGGATGCCATCAAGGATTACTGGGGATGTGTCAAAAGGACTCCCAGAGCCAACTTAAAAGAGGCTCCTGCTGCTGCCTATCTATTAGATAATTAGAGCATCAATAAGGGTAATAACTGCAATGGATTGAAAGCATTAAGTAAAGTTTAAATCTAAGAGTTCATGATAGCAAAATAAGAAATCTCTCATCGGTTACCTTTGGAGGATGCGAAGTAACCAACTCATTATTTTGAAAATTATTTACAAAAGGAAAGAATCAAACATTTATGCTGCTGTTTCCCTTATGAATTCTATCCCAGGGTAGCTAAATGGATGAGGAGGAAGTTTCTCATTATAGTAGTGCTCCAGCTAATAACAACTAAAGGAATAAAAAAAAAATACTACCATTTTGCAGCCTCCAAGGAAATTATAGATCTAGACATGATCACCAGTAGCTGCTAATGTCACAAAAAGAGGGGCAACCAGGCATATGTCTCCCAATGGATGTGCCATGCCGTCTATGAAGTATATTTGCTAAACGTTTGGATCTGCATCTGAGGAAGCCTCTGTATTGGACATGGGCAAACTGTGGTCCTCACAGCAGTCTGGTGTGTTGCCTGTTTTTGGACATAAAGTTTTATTAGAACACAGCCACATGCATTCACTTACATATTGTCTATGGCTACATTCACCTTGTGGACACAGTAGCTGTGACAGAGAATACAGAACCTGCAAATCTGTAAATATTTCCTCCCTGACAGTTTGCCAGAGAAGTTTGCCAATCCCCGCTCTACATCCAGATGCTACAGATGGGGAGCAAATACGTGGGACAAGAGAGCATGTTAAATGACACCATGGAGGTAATCAGCAAAATCCAGACTGGGGAAATCTACGGGGAAAAAAAAATGACCTTTTTTTCTTAAACAAACTGCAAGGAGAGAACACTTTTCTTTGGTACTTAATGTATACTTCAACTCAGGTCATCAAGGTCAAGGTTACCTTATTTCAGTAACTGGCAGTCTCTTTAATTCCTAACTCCAGGTTTCCGGCTCATTTCCAGTTAGCAGATTGCCCCTCTTTTCATGCTTTAATTAATGGCTTTTTGTGCACATAATAAAGACCTTATACTTGCCTAGCCCTTGTCAGGGCCCTATGGACGCATCATAAATCAGCAGCACCCAACACCAACCTGTCTGGACCAAGTGGAGAAGCATGCCTACTACAGCAGGGCTCCCCGACCCAGGAGGGAGGGGCAGGCCACCCTTCATCTTCTCCCTCAGTCCCACCTTCAGTCTCTGAATGGAGGTCCTGGGAGGCCAGGGTCCTGGTTGTAAATAGCATAGGACGGTGGTTTTCCAGCCTTTTTTTTTTTTTAAGTTTTGGAATTCTTTGTTAGAAACACAGTCTTTGGTGGAAATGCAAACAGCAGGGCAGCAAGACTACTTCCGGGGGAAGAAAGGGTGAGGGTGACAAAGTGAGCGGGTGCTGGACCATCCATGTGAAGATGCACATGCATACGTGAGAGAGTATAAGGGAATAGTGAGTGTAGATACTGGACATGTCTGTTAGCAGAGTGGTCTATAAAAACCTAATAAAAAAGACTAGAAAGGAGGTATAGGTTGGAAAAGATAAAAAAAAAAAAAAAAAGACAGTATATTATGTCTTAACATGTTATAATTCAGTGAAAGAGGACAGGGAAGTCTAAAGGGAAAAAGATCAGAGGGGTGGCGAGTGAAGTGTGATGTAGCGCGTTAAAAATGTTCTCACTTCTGGCACCTCATTTCGTTTACGTTGTTTCATTTCGTTCAGAGTCCTACCTCAGTAGATGAGATTCCAAATAATTTGTGTAGCCGTTCTGCAGCAAAGATCCCCTGATTTTATGACATGGAAGAGAAGATATAGTTTGGAGAATTTAATGAAGATTACAGTTTTTGTTTCTCATTTAGGTTTTGCCTAAAAAGTACTATATTCTCACTTGAATGGTGAAATGCCAAAATTGCTCAATACTCACTCAAAATCAGTGAGATTTGGGGGGGAAGAGGTGGTAACACTGACACAGTTTGTTCTCTTTAATGTTTACTTGGCTCTAGTTCAAAAGTGTGGACAGTCATTTGCTCTTTAGAACCTTTTACATCAGTTCAGGAGGAGAGTCTTAAGCATTCTTCCAAACAGAACATACAAGCCAGAGATGGGAGGACCCCTCAAGCTGAATGTTCAAGAGGCAAGAGAGGGCCCACAGGGCCTGTGGCGCCACCTCAGGGCCTCAGCCAGGGCCACTGCTTTGAACAGTTCTGTGGTAGCATCCATATTCCACCTACTCGGTGAGCATTTTCTTGCCTATCTGGCGTGTCCAAAATTGGACTCAATCACCTTCTTCCTCCCTCCATCTGCATTGCTATCACTGAAAAGAAAGCATGTTTTCCTTCTGCTCCATCTTTAAACCTTACAGTCACATTCAGCTGCTCCATGTTTTTTCTTTTGTCACGTAAGTCATTAATACCTGGGGACCTTCTTGATGTACGTGGTTTTACTTGCCTTTTGATGTTACAGCCCTGGGTTATAGCACTGGTTCTGCCACTTGCTAGCTGTGATCCTCCAACAAATTCCTATTCAATGTCCCCAGCCGTAAAACTGGGATAATGCCTACCTTAGAGGTAGTTGTAAGAACCAGCTAGAACATCCAATGGGTCTAGAATGTACTCAATAAATGGCTGTAAGCGTGACGAATGTTATTAGTGAGGGCATTTGATCTGCCTCTTCCCTAACACCTTGTCCAAGCTCTTAGCGCTTCTCCCTGGTGTTCATACCACTGCATCTCTGATGACCTCTCTGTTCTCCAACCCGTCTTGCCAGACTAAGAGTTTCTGAACACTGGCTTTTTTTCAAAGCATACTCAAAACCTTTAATAATCTCCAGTTTCCTACCTCCCCATCTAAGCTCTGGCACCCAGCTTTCTAGGCTTGCATTATTTGCAGAAGCCTTCCTCTGGGTCTGCATCGACTGATGTCACTGGCCCCATGCAGACTACTGTGCACAGTGCATCCAGAATGATCATTTGAAAACAGAAATCTGATCATGTCACACATGCACATGTGCACACAGACACACAGACACACACCCTACACAGAGAAAACTGTTCAGGGGCTCTTAGTAGAAACTGCCAAATCCTAGCCACCATATTGACAGTCCTATTTGGTCCCAGCCCTGCCCACCGCTCCACCTTCATCTCCTACTCTCCTGCCCTTCGATGTCCAACACCAGCCACAGGCACTGTCTGGAGCCTGTCTACAGTGCACCTTCCTCCTGAGTCTTTGAAAATGCTTGTTTTTCTGCCTTTAAAGATCTTCCTTCTCTATTCTTTACTCATTCTTACAGCTTATTTCAGCTCTCAGAAGAAGTGTTATTTTTTTCCAGAAAACCTTTCCCATCTAAGTTAAATCTGTCTGTTACCTCCTAGAACCACAGGCCTGTCCTCTGCTGCATTCAGCACAGTTGCAATTTCCCATATATCCAGGTGGATAATGCATAGGCATATTCCTCCCCAATTAGGCAGTAAGCTCCAGGGCAACTACCGTTGGTAGTTTTCATTGTTTGGACCTCTGTGTGGTACACAGTCGTTGATAGAAGATCTGCACTGAATTAATGAATGGCACTTTAACCTCTCTTTAACCTGGAGCCCCACACCTCTGTAACATGGATTTATGTCACATTCCTTTATTCACCTTGCTACTGGTATGCAGTGCCCACCCTTTGCCCCCAAGTTCTACTCACCTGGAATGTCTGTTTCACATCCTTTCATCCACCCAAATCTGTCCTTCAAGGCTTGGCTCCAGTGTTTCTGCCACAGAGCTTCTGAAAATCATGCTGGTCTTCTGGAAGCATACCTCTTTTTGGAAGCTTAGAACTCCCCACCTCCTTCTACACTTGTTTCTTCCTCCCCCCCTGTTGTTCATGTGTGTTAGCCTAATTTCCCAAATTGCAGGCCACGTCACATCTGTGTCCTCCATGCTCCTCAGCCTGGTGCTGATAAGCTGGATGGAGCATTTGACATGGGATTCAATGGCTTTCGTCTCTGTTCTATAACACCTGCTCCAACTGTGACACGTGGCGAGGGGCCAAAAAGATATACTGAAGGAAGATGTAGGTCAAAACACTGAACTACAAGTAGTTCTGAGAAGTTTCTGGAATAAAAATGAATGCATCTGGGATTCAAACACGAGACAGTTGAATTTCCGTCCTTGCCTTCATTCATGGGCCCGTCCACCTGAGGACTCATGGCGCTTGAACTAAAGGAGACTGCTTGTGTGAAAGGCGCTGGAAATCTCAAGCGTTCCTCTCTTCCAGGTTTGCTTCAATGAAAAGGACTCACCTTTGTCATTGTACAATGGCTATCTTGGTCTCTTTGGGTCACAATTCACATATCTCACTGTACAGCTTTAAATACTTCCTGTCTGTGAAAGAGGAGTCCAAGGTGTTTACTAAATAATTAGGTTGACTTTAATAAGCCTTCTATAATGAGGATGAGCATTTCAGACAGCCAAATTACTCCTATGCTCAACCACATGAAAACCAATCCCATCTCAAGTCATTTGGAAGGCAATACCGGGAAATCATTTTCAGCATTACAGGACATATTAAGAAGCTTAGTTGGAGCAACCTATGAGCTTGGCTATGAGAAATGCAGATTAGGGCTACCTCTGCAGCATCCTGATAGCACTGATGAGAACGTTGGTAAGCATGTGACTATCTCATATTCCTGCATTGCAATATGTTACAATATTACAATCTTGTCAGCTTACAGACGGGTTATTAGTTTTATCAGCTGTCACCGAGGTAAAGAAAATAAATGTTCAAGAATCAAAAGATGAAACCTTAGCTTTTTTCTACAGATGGTATTTGTTGGCAACATGGAGACCGAACAACACAAAAATGATTTGTACTAATAGTATCCACAGGACATAGATGGAATAATTACCAATTGCTAATACAAAATGTTTTTATTACGGTATAAAGTGCACAGTGCAGACAGTGAGGCATCTGTCCAGCTCCGTGAACTTTTATATACACATCCACCTGTGTGACCACCACCCTTATCCCTTTGCAGAACATTTCCAGTACTGAAGAAGGTCCCTGCTTGCCTCTTCCTGCCCAAATCCCCTCCCACAACGTAATTGTTATCTTAACCTTCATCACCATTGTTCAGCTTTGCCTGATTGTGAAAATGCATATATGTGAAATCATACGTTGCATTTTCTTTTGTGTTTGACTTCTTTTGCTCAACGTTCATTCCTGTTACTGTTTGTATCCATAGTTTGTTCTTTTTTGTGCTTTGCAGAATCCCATCGGATAAGCACACCACAATCTGTCCATCTATCCTTCCTTCTGTAGACATTTGGGTTGTTTCCAGTTTGGGGTTACTATGAATAAGGGTGCTATGAACATTCTTGAGTATCTCCTTTGATGGACGCAAGTCCTCACTTCTCTTGTGCGGATACCTAAGAGTGTGATTGCTGAGTCACAGAGTAGGCATAGTTGTTGAATTTTAATGAATACTGCGAGTTTTCTCAAGTGTTTGAACAATTGTGTATTTTAATTCATGAGCAGAGCATGCGAATCCAAGGCAACTACTGTTGCACAGACTAAGTGGTGCCGTTTGTTTCTGGCTTATAAATAAGAATTGGCATTTTAATATGTTATATTAACGCAGGCATGAAAACTTGACCAGCCCGAGTACTGGTTGGAATTAAAGGTCAAAGGAGGTTGAGAAATGTTGATAGCCTAAAATTCTGCTCAAAAAAAATCAGCTTTATAGAAGAGCATTAAATAATTGGAACCTTAATAGATCCTGGCATTCAGTGAATTACTCTCTCCTTTAGCGTGTTAGGGATTCATATTTGGAGATTAAAATTAAGCAATAGTAATTTATAAAAATGTATGAAGAAACTTGTGTTGGTCAAACAAGAAGGCATTGTTCAAAGCAGATGTGTGAAAAACAACGATGATGTGGGCTAAACATACTGTTGTGCTGAATAATTGGAGGTTATTCCTCATACACCTGATATTAAAAATAACATTTTCATGTTCCAAGCCCATGCCATGATTTTTCTATCCATTTTTATCTTACTCTCATAAAACAATAAAGTGCAGAGTTGTTTTTACTTTTTCACATGACCAAGGAATTGTCTACCCTGCTTTTGTTGTAATTTGCCTGCCTCTAATTAATAATTTCTTCTGATAGGAAGATGTGCCTTTACCTATTTATAAGGGATTGAAAACCATACTGCGAAATTCTCCATGCCGAGACACAGGCAAAGCAGGCTCCTGCCATTTGCTTCTGAGTGCAGAATAAGATGTGGGTTTGCTTTTTCTGTTCCAGTTATCTCAGGGATCTCCAGAACCGATTGAGCCCAACTTTTTCACAGCGGATTACCATTTATTACGTCATTCATCAGGTGGAAACAGCCTGTCCCCAGATGACCCAACAGGTAATGGCCTTCAAAACAGGAAATCTGGCTTTTCACTAAGAAATCTGTTATTTGGATCAACAGCTAGTCTTAAAAGATTTTCTTCAATTTAAAAGAAAGATAGAGCTTATTTTGATTATCTCTGGCAATAAGTCAGAAGAGAGATAGAGCAGGAATATAGAAATTCCCTGAGATTTATCGTACCCCACTGTGGCAGCTTCCTTGATCATTTATTAATACTATAAACAAACGGCAGAATCTGTGTGAGTGAATTGTATTTCCTTTCATTTCTTCTTGCTTATCTGATGATGGAAAATCAAATGCCCAAAGGCATCCAGGGAGATAAAAAGCAGAAGTGAAGTGTTTGGATATTTAAAATGGAGAAAATTTGAAACTTACCTGAAAAATCCACACTAGACATATTTAAATGTTTTTCTTTTTTGTATTAATCTCGCATAAGGAGGCCAGATAGCATAGGGATGAAAGGTGCAGATTCTCAAAACATGGACGCCTATATTTGAATCTCAGCTTAACCACTTAGTAGTTGACCTTGGGCAAATTATTTGATCTCTTGAACCCCAGTTTCCTTGCCAGTAAAATGGGGGTAAAGTGGTACTTTCACTGTAAGGTGATGGTGAGGTGGTGTAAACATAGAAAAAGTGCCTGGCCATTAGCAAGGGCTCAGCATAATGTAACTCTTCTCGTTATAATTGAACTCTCGGAAGAGGTTTTCAAGCTACTCTGAGGTTTCAGAGTTCCTAAATAATTTTGAAATCTCTATAAACTATAGTTACATCACTGAGTTCTGAAATAGGAATGATAGTTACAGGGAGACTCGCTGTCCCCTCACTCCTCAATGTAGACAAATCATCTCATATATGAATTCTCAAACTTCCCTTAAGGTTGGGCTTAAGCCCAGTCTGTAGATGAAGCCAACCTATAGGCAGGATTACATTTAAAATACCCCCTGAGAAACCCATAAGATCAAGAGAAACTGTTGTCTAAAGTCTGCCCCCAGGGCAGGTCCGTCCGTCTGCGTCTGCGGGCCAGACTTCTTACAGAGGCAACTCTGATGAAACCCAGAGTCCCCGGGCAGCCTGGCAGCTTGACGTGCCCTCCTCCACCACCCCCCGGGTGGAGAGGGCGAGTCCCGTCCCAGCAGGCTGGCAACCAGCTCAGACAGCAGAGCCTTGTGGGCACTTTGGGGAACACCTTGATTCAGAGCTTTGAAGAGGAACTGCCAGGACTCAGCCCCACGCCTCCCCTGAACATCAACCCCTTACCTTTTGTCTCTCCTGCATGGAGGGGAGCTCCTACACCTCTCTGCACCCCAGTGTTGATTGATTGGAGTGGAAGCTGGTCAGTGTCACTTTGGGTGGCTCTCAGCTGGGTGAGTTGCTGGTATATCATCCTCAGAACAGACATCAAAGACAGCTTTGCCTTCTGGCACTAAATGTTATTTTACTTCCCTCTAGGCAGTCATAGGAAAGGACCAGGTCTTCCTTCTCCTTCACTGTCTATTTCTGGCTCCCTCTAAGAGTTCATTTTCTTTGTAGCACATGTTTACTGGCTTTGCTGGTAGATTAAGGAGAGTTCCTTGATCAGAAAACTCACCGATCAAGTAGTGTGCATTTGGAATACTCCTCACCTGTCCTTAGTGTGCACCCACGCACTCGCACACACACACACACCCCTATAGCTTAATTGCCCAATTTATACCGTGTAAGATGCTCCTATATCTTTGTGTACTATTTGTGTATTATTTTGTGATATTCGCCCCCAAAGCAACCAGTTATTAAGGGAAGAGAAACAAAGTTTGAATATTCAAAGCAAGACAATTTGGAATGTGCTTAGAATTCCTCGTCTTCCTCATGTCTGAATTCACCCCGGTTTCACTACAGTTGAATTGTAATTGCCCATAAAGTCTAACTAAGAAGTTGTGAACCAGAGTTCAGACTTTCCATAATTTATCTCTTTCAGGTCTATGCACCAGCTTTGATCTGGAGGAGGGAATAACATATGAACAGATGCAGGTGAGGTTTTCACAGTGCCTTTGAATAGTTTTATTTTGTTGCTTTTAATTCAATACTAAGCTGATTTTTTTCCAACTCCAGACTGTGATTGAAGAAGTCCTAGAAGAAAGTGGCTATTACAACTTTACATCTAACAGGTGAGATCTGGAATTTCCTTTCAAATGTGAGCTCGGTAGAGATCATTGGATGTTAGATCTGATTTCTCTGTCCTGGATTCCAGAGATTTTTTTCTTTTCAATTTTCATTTTAAATACTTTGGTAAAATATCTTGGCTTAGACTGGATACAACTATGGGTAGAGTGTACGTTGCCCATCTTTTGTATGGAAGCAGCTGATGTTTCTCTGCTGAAAAAGAAGAGGGGATAGCTTAGTGGTAATTTAATCCCCTAAAAAAATAAGAAACACAACGAAATGGAAAGGCATGTCTAGGCTTTTCTTTCTTTTTTTTTTTTTATTAAACATTTGTTACCCCCATTCTCGTAGAGCTGTAAACTCAGATTTCCATCACTGAAATCTAGCCAGTATTTGTATAAAATGCAAGGGCGGGGGAGGGGAGGATACAGCTACAAAGAATCACTTCTGGTGAATTTGAGAAATGTTGGTGGGAAAGGAATTTGTTGTTATGTATTGCCACTTGCTCACTGAGTGAGAAACCTCAGTTTACTGGGGCTATGTATTATCTTCTAATATAACCACTACTGGTGCTTTAAAAATATGCTATTTCCTCACGTTTGTCCAGTTATGATCCCTGCCTTTTACTGTTGCGCGCAGAGCTGGGTGCAGAGATGTGACCACAGTTAGTTTACTTGAGAGGCAATTCCAGGAAACACTGGTAGGGAGTGAAGAACAATTCAATAAAGGTTTCATTTTCAAGCAAGTTACCATTGTGGCTAATGGGAGCTCGATGCCACCGGGGACTCCGAGAGTCGGTGCTGAACATGTCCCTCAGTTATCCCGCTCGAGGGCTCAGGGAGCCAGGGTACTTGTTTCCAGCCGTCATTGTCTGAGGCCTTTGTCCGGAGACTGTTAGTTTCCTGGCACCTCTGGCCTCCTGTAAAGGTGGACAGAGTGGACTCCAGAGGCCAGAGAGATCTTCAGGAAGAGAAATGCAGGTGCAGGCAGCTGGAAAGCAAGCCAGCCCTCTGTGCCGGGCGTGCATGAGGGGAGGTGGGCACCCACAGTGTCTACCACACACTTATCTCTTGGCTTTTCTAAGGAGCCCCTCCTAACCTCATCACGTTGATCATAAGCAGCCACATACGCATCCTCTGTGGCTCCCCGTTGCTTTAGTTTGTTCTCCCAAAGGGGCCTTTTATGCCTAAAGGAACAGCTTGCCTTTCCGGCTGGTGAAGCTATCTTGTGACTACTATTTAAATCATTCTAGAAGTCATCTCCAAAGGTATGAGCCATGGTAAGAGAAAGAGGCCTCAGGAGCATTCTGGGAAGGTTATTATATGGAAATTAGATTCTTTTTTGAGGTTACTTCAGCCTCCAACTTTTTTTTTTTAACCTTTCCTATCTCAACAAGTTGTTCATGTGAATCACAGTTAAGTTTATTCAACTGCTTGCTCTTTTGGCTTGATAATATATTTCCAAAATACTACCTTTGTAGAGTTAGTTCTGTTGTGAGTTATAACTACAGAGAGGTGATGAGTAATTCTCATTTTCCAAAGGTATATTATTAATAGAAATCACCATCTTCATAATCACTCTTCTCCCACGGTCCTTGGGGAGATTCTGAAGTTTCATTTTCTCTTCCTGGGCTGAGTACATCCAACTTTCCATGAATAGTATGAGCGTCTTTGTTCTTGACTCTTAGCCCCTTCTTATTGTAAGTGCCTTTGGCTTCGAGTGGGGGCAAAAGTCATTTGTGTCATGATTTATCTACATATTCTCAGAGACTCAGGATCGTGGGCAATAATGGTTTAATACGTCGGCAGAAAATAAATGTCAGTGAAAAATCAGGTGTGTAAGGAAGTTGGGAAGCTCTTACGAGAGCTCTTATTTTTCCCTAAAAAATTTAGTCTTAGTCTTATTTTTAAATTCACTTTTATCCTTTTTTAGTTCTGTCACTAAGAGATCAAACATGATCTCTACTTCCAAAGATGCGCTCCGCTATTAAAAGACATTGCACATTCTTATTGCAATGAACAGATGATAAGATGCCTGGTAACAAGGACAAAAAAATTATTTACAGTTATATTCAGAATTGTGAATAGACTCTGGAGACATGATTTAAATGGTCAAGTTCAAGCAAAATACGTTGGATAGGACATATGTAAACTTTTCTTAAAATGCTCCAAATTAAAATGAATCAGTCATTTAAATATTCTTAATGATATTCCCTTTTCATCTAATAAAAATGATAGAATACACCTTGAGAGAAGACTCCTCATAGTTTTCTAGTAAAGATAACCCTTGGTTGTGCTTAAAGTACTTGTTTTCTGGTATTCCAAATTAATTACCAAGAAAGAAGTCAGCTCCCACTTCGAAGCACCTAATAGTTCACAAGCTGGAAATACACATAATTACAAATAAGAATCACATCAGCCATGTCAGTGATGATTTTTCTGTAGTCAGAGGATAGAGAAAGCTAAATCTCACTGGACATGCACTAGTATTTAGAGTCACTAGAGTGTATTTCCTTAATTGGGTCCATAGACTAGCCTGTATTCTCACAGATGCTAATAGATGGTCCCTGAAAAATGATTTTGTGATCAAATATATCTGGGAAACTGTGAAAGTACAGCTTTCCATTTTCAGAGGCTATGGACACACATTACCATATTACAGAGTCTGAGATGTGCTGTCAGAAAGAAATCTGTTGACCTTGTTTACCCCAGCATTTCTCTAATCTTTCGCGTGTGGTTGGAAATGGGAAACATTGCTTTAACTCCCCCACCAGCCAGCAGTACCTATCCAAATCTGCTGTTGTTCCTGTTGTCACTGTCATCATCTCGTCATTGTCATCATCGTTGCAGAATGTTATCAGTGATCTTGGTCAAGCACCACACAGAGAACTGCATACATAGTTTCTGCATTACTGAAGTTTACAACTTCAGACAGTCAGTTCAAACTTCCACACATCTACAAAACACCCAGACAGCAGCTAAAGCCTGAAGCCAAGATATGGCATGGTTTTAGCTTAGGCCACAGAGTGAATATTTAGTTAGGGATAGAGAGATACCATTATCAAACTGACAGCCTGAGGATGAAGCCATTATCCATCTATTAGCTATCTTTAGGGACAGTTTCTGCAACTGTTTAAATAAAGGGGAGACTGCTTGGGGAGTTGGTTAGGAAGACCGTCTTGGGCACAAAATGCTCTATTACGGAAAGAAAATAGTAACCGAAAGAGAAATAGCAGCAAGGAGCCCTAAGCAAAATGGGGAATCCCTCATTTCTGGGCTTCCAGGAAGAGGAGGTAGAAGGAGTTGAGAGGAAGAAGGTAGTATAAAGAAAATGAAACAAGGTCAAAATAGGCTTGGCTAGCCCAAAGCACACTGTATTCTTGATCATTTGCAGGATGTATGACTTTTTAAAAAAACAGTTTATTGTCAAGTTGGTTTCCATATAACACCTAGCATTTATCCCCACAAGTGCCCTCCTCCATGCTCATCACCCTCCTTCCACTGCCCCCCACCCCCATCTGCCCTCAGTTCTCAGCATTCAAGAGTCTCTCATGGTTTGCCTCCCTCCCTCTCCCCCACTATTTTACCCCTTCTTCTCCCTCATGGTCCTCCATTAAGTTCCTCCTAATCCTCCTATAAATGCAAACATATGGTAACTGTCCTTCTCTGCCTGACTTATTTCGCTCAACATAACACCCTCAAGATCCATCCATGTTGCTACACATGGCCAGATTTCATTATTTCTCATTGCCATGTAGTATTCCATGGTATAGATAAACCACATCTTCTTGATCCATTTGTCCGTTGATGGACACTTAGGCTCTTTCCATGTTTTAGCTATTGTTGAGAGTGCTGCTATGAACATTGTGGTACACGTGCCCCTATGCATCAGCACTCCTGTATCCCTTGGGTAAATTCCTAGCAGTGCTATTGCTGGGTCATAGGGGAGTTCTGTTGTTAATTTTTTGGGGAAACTCCACACTGTTTTCCAGAGGGGCTGCACCAGTTTACATTCCCACCAACAGTGTAGGAGGGAATTTCTCCACAGCAGATATATGATTAATTACATTTTACATTCATAAACATTTGGCTTCCTTACCAGAAGGAGACAGCCTAGCATGCCTTAATTTTATCACTGTTGTTTGTGATATTGTTGTCTGTGAATCCTGTGAGTGAATAAATGGCAAGCACATCATCCTTATATACTTAGGGACACATATTACCATTTTTAACAATGAAATCTGTCTTGAGAAGTAAAATTTGCAAGATAAAAAACTCTGTACTTTGCATTGCTTTTTTCCCCCCCAATTAACTGATAACATGTAAATTAGATGTTTGAAAGGACAAGCTACTTTGAATGGGTGTTTCTTTTCTTCTCTAAAGGGTTAGCATTTCTAATTGAGTTTATGCTCTGAGAAAGATCCGGTTAGCACTGAACTTCAGCAAAAAGGTGGCTTTCCAAAAATGCCCCATCCTGTTTTGTTTCTGAATCATCTTTTCTTCACTGTGATTTATATATATATATAAATTTATATCTATATAAATTTATATATATATATATATATATACCTGAGCTACTGCTTTTGAAATCGAACATGTGAAATTAAATATGTGTGACCACAGAGAACTCTTTCCACTTTTGAATCTTCTAGATATCACTCCTATCCGTGGGGGACCAAGAATCACCCAACCAAAAGATGAAAAGCCTGCGTTTTGAACAGACTCGGTTTTCCTAGTGAAGTTCAGGTTCTGGACTTCAGCTCTACCAGATACCCAGGGATTGGGAGCCGCTGGAAGGGTATGGAAAAGAAGAGACCAAGAAAGACCTCTTTCTGGAGGCCCTGTGCCGGGTTATGTGGCCGTGACAGTGTGGGAAGGCCCTGCTCCTTGGACCCGGCAGGCACAAGATGACAGGGCTCTCAGGTCACTCCTGGGAGAAAGTGCTGCAAGATTCATCTGTGGGAAAAAAAACTCGCTCCTCACAGAACTTTCCTACAAGTTAAAAAAACAAGACAAAACCAAACACACACACACATACACAAAGTCATATTTTTCAATGGAATATTTTATATTTAGGATTGCCGAAACTATGTTTAAAGGCATCTAGCCTTCTGTGTATAAAGATAGTTCTAGATAAAGAAAATTACAGGCCCCAGAGTAGTAATATATTGGGTGATTCACTGTGTTCTCCAATTTTTTTTTTATTTAAAAAGAATTCAAAATAGGTGATTGAATTTTATTGTTGTTGTTTCAAGGAAAGGATTGGTTCTCTCTTAACCACTTGGGTGCTAGTGCTCTGAAGACAGTAGACAGTATTTGTAACCTTGCACAGCCTCTGGGAGTAACTGTCAAATTGTCGGATGTAAGCTACACTAGTAGAATATGTTGCTATACAGTGTGTGTATATATACATATAGAAAGGGGGAGGGAGGAGAGGTTTTGATTAGGCTAATGCTTTGCTGCTAATCAAACTTAATAGTGTTTTTAGAGCACTTTGAAGAGTTCATGGAATCTATGAAAGAGATGCAATATTACTTATCCTAAGTCCCTTCTTACTAAAATTACCTATATTGTTTTACAATTTTTATTATTTGGGAATTTGAAATGAAAATAAGCTATATAACAAAATGTAAGTCCCTTCTTTATTCATTGAGACATCCCTAAAAACACAAGAAATCAGAATGCCAAAGAGTGTTTCATTCCTTTGTAAGGGAGACTTTATGATGAAAATTTTCTAGATTCTTATTGGACTAAAAATCTCTTCAACTGGCTTCTTGTAACTGACTTATTGCCAAGTCAGACGGCACTTCTAACTGCGTAAAGAACATTCTAAGTCTACATAATTAGTCATCTGAAAGCTGGAACTCTGCTTTTTGTTTACTTCTCACTGAGTTCTGGTATCCTTATTTTCACTGATATGTTTTTAGCATCATTGAACAGGATTTAGTTCAATATATTTACAGTGATTGAAACGTAATCACCCTTTAGTATGTATGCAAAATCTCTTAATGTGAATCCATACTATTTTTACAATTTGTACATTCAATGCTTAAAAGACATCCACATTTCCTTTAACTAATGCCTGTGAAAAATTACGAATGAATCTTTGTCTTTAAGCCAAATTAATGATTACAAATACACTGTAATTTTAAAACACAGATGCAGTTACAGTAATTAAAAATACCAGTCTCAGCTTTCAAACAAATTCAATCCATATGTGAAATTTATGTGTAAAATTACAATGCTATGATTTTGATTTACCCAGGTAAAATTTGATTCCTATCCCAACTGAATTTGAACTTGCACTAGTAATTTTTATATCTGTTCCTGTATGGAATGGGCACGTTCCCTCACTGGGTAGGAGGCAGAGGCCTACAGGGGCATAAATTGCAATTGTGATAGAAGCTAATACCTGGAAATAAACCAAACTGTGGATGAAAGTTTGAACAATAAAGTTCTTTCTCAAATGATAATATACAATCAACCACATTTAGAAGAGAAGATAATTCAGAGGTCACACGTTAGTAAAAAAAAAAAAAAAGAGAGAGAAAAGAAAAAAAAAGAAAAATGATTTATTGAAAGGTGTTTTCAAGTGCATACAGTTGCCCTTATTGCCATTTTGCTTATTGGAACAAAACGTTTCTAACTATTTCTTTTAGACCATAGAAGTGGCATGTATTATTCTAGAAGCCAGTAAGGATTAACAAAGATAGACACATGGATGTCCTGTTTACCAGCAGCTTTGGGCTGGTCAACTCTATGCTGACAGATGCATTCTTTTGCCAAAGTCATGAATGTGTTTTATTTGATTCCCTTCTTCAGCTACCAGTCACAGGGTCCACATTCTCCCAGTGCAAGGGCAGGCTTCCAAGAGAAAGTTAGGCACTGGGAAGAGATTCCTTTTGTGCCTAGAGTCTCATCCCAACAGGGGTGTTACCTTTTCAAAAGCCCTCGCTTTCTCACTTTCCAACCAGGAGCCCCCTGCCCTCACAAAAGAACAAGAATGATCATTTTGTTTTCACTCTCTGAACCGCACTGTAGTGCAAAGAAATTGTTACTTGAACATAATTGGCCTCATAATCTTTTCTTGATTGCATTTAAATTTTTTCTCTTTCTCTTCTATGTAATTTTTAATTATTTGCTGTGCAATGAAATCCCCGTGAATCCATCTAACTCTCAGTCACCGAATATTTGTGTGGGACAGAATCTGAATCAGTCTCTTCCGATCACTTTGGATACACAAATGCTTCCGTTAATTGTGTTTTGATCTACCAGCTCGATCTGCACACATGCACTTGAAACCTTAATTTGCTTTTTAAAAGCAGAATGTTCCATTTTCAGGGAAGTGACTCCAGTAGGCACATGTGCTTGCTGGGTCATTAACCTTGTCTTCTTCCAAATGTGCGATATGTAATTGGAGGTCTCTAGGGAATAGTAACATGGGCACTACACCCAGTGCTCATGGGTGAATTTCAGGAACTTGCTAACGAAAGACTGTTTGAGTATAATGTGGACACTTTCTGGTACCGGGCAGTGTGCACGGTCTGGGCATTCTGAAGCAGACCCTAATTAAGAAATGCCGTTGTGAAGTTTACCCCAATGATGGAACTGATTGGGAGTTAAGGTCTTCTTAGAGGTATCACCTATGCTTTATTAAACACTATGAATTTTGAGGATCAAATACAGGACCGTTTGATTACATGCAATTCCAGCAATAGCATCAGTTTTTCACCGCTCATATGTAAGATGTGTGAGGGCAATAATCTTGTTCAGTCAATTCTATCAGTATTAATATGCATAGAATCCACATCCCTCTAATTGATTTGCTGAATCGCACAATGTTTTTATTGCTATTTCTCTCTCTTCTTTGGAATGACGATGGACCATGTACAGTAAATATGTTGGATTCCTTTAGAAATGGCTTCAGCTTCTATTTGAAGGCGGGAAATCCTTCTTTACAATGTGCTTTTATCGTTAGCCTTTTAGTTTTTCCATGGTGTGTATTCATGACACAGGAAGCAGCTGGAGAGGCAATGCAGAGGAATCAAGCTGAACCAGGTCCTCAACACCCTGGTGATGCAGCTCTGAAGGGCTTGTAAGCAAAGGAAGCCTAGTGCTTCCATGTACTTGGAACCTTGACTCTTAGGGTGAAATTCTATCAAAACATGAAATTCTGCATGTTCAACAACTAAATGTGATAATAAGTATATTTGATATACCTTTATATCTTCCAGAGATTATCCTTTGATGGAAATGCACAGAATTTGGGACAGATTATTTGTTCCACTGAAATGTACTGCTCACCCTTGGATGCTGTTTTTCATATTGATAGGAAGACACAAATGTCTCAGGGAAATAGCTTTGTGATAAAGAAATTCTTATGTGTGTCATTGCCGTTAAATTGCATATTGTAAATATGACTGTTATGGTTGATTACATTCTTGCCGTGATGTTGCTTTGAGATTTGCAACAGGGACAGGAAGGATTTTATGATTTTGACAGAGTGACTGATAGATATTGCAAATTTACATGTCCTCTGAGTCCATGGGCAGCAGTTGTTTTAAAAATGAAGATCACGCACCCTCAGAGCATAACAGCATTCTTGGGACATGAGCTATGTTAGTTGTTGTTTTTTTGTTTCTGTTTTTTGTTTTTTGGGTTTTTTTTTTTTTACTACATATAGGCAGTAAAGAACCAATTTTTAAATCTTTTAAAACTTCATTGATTATATCCTAAAAGTGAACTCTGTTCTCAATCGAAAGCTGAATATTATTCCTCAAAATGTAGCAAGCTGCCCTTCCCCCCCGCCCCCCATTTTGTACTCTGAAGATCAGCACTGTACCCAGGAACTGTATTTAGAGGTAGCAGAAGTACATTCATTATAGCGAACATATGACTGTTTAAAGGCTATCAGGGGCGCCTGGGTGGCTTAGTCGGTTAAGCGTCCGACTTTCGCTTAGGTCACGATCTCGCAGTTCATGGGTTCGAGCCCCGCGTCGGGCTCTGTGCTGACTGCCAGCTCAGAGCCTGGAGCCTGTTTCAGATTCTGTGTCTCCCTCTCTCTCTGACCCTCCCCTGCTCACGCTGTCTCTCTCTCCTAGAAATAAATAAAAACACTGAAAAAAAATTAAAAACAAACAAAAAAAAGGCTGTCATTTGGAAGTGGCTTCCCTGTTTCCTCTGAACAAAGATAGAAATTTTGTTGTTTATAGAAAACCAGGTAATCGGTAAATCTGGAAAGATACTTGGGATTGATCTGGTGAGCTCACAAATGAAAAATAAGCTGAAGTTTCTGCAAACATGTCATGAACTTGTCCCATAAAACAAGCAGAGAGAGGTTTGGACTAGAATAACAAGCCAAAGGAACAAAAGCTTTAAGGCCTTATCACCTGTAAGTCAGACAGCAGAGGTCACTTATAAAATAATATTCCTAATCCATGATTTAGTTCTATATTTCAAGCACCACTTGAGTCAGAATTCTGGAAAGGAATATAATGCTTACCCATGGCTATTAAATTTTAGCTTTCCTTGCCCTTCATACAAATATGTTTACCTCATACTTCAGTAAATTTGGAAGGCAATGGAGCTGGTTTAGGGATACCTTAGATCGAGAAGGAATGTATGAAGTATTTGTATGAACCCTACACAGCATGGAGGGAGGAGTATAAATAGAAGTACTCAGAAGTGAAGTCTGGACCTGTTAAGGATTAAAGATGACTCTTTCAAAGAGGTAGGATAATCCACAAATAAAAACTGAGAAGTCACAGGGCAAATAGAAGGCCAGGGGTGTCCGAGAGCCTGGCACCTCCAGTCGGGGGACTGGCCAGTCACAGGGTGGTGGGCAGTTGACAGGGGTCCGGGCAGTTCCTGATGCTTGACGGGTTCCTGCCTCTGGGTGTCCTGGAAGAAACGGATCATGCACCTCCCCCATGGGCAGTTACTGATGGACCGATCTCTCGGCACAGTTCCCTGTGAGCTGAAAAGCCCAGACAGTAGCACATGGGCCCCTTAGACTCCCTAGTAACATGTTAGGACAGGATCCCTATGAAGCATTGCAAAGACATCAGCCTCCTCGAGGACACAAGTTTGCCCGCCATTCAGGGATGTGGCTCGGCCACTGGCACCATGTTTGCTTCCCCATGTTTCAACCATGGCCCCAGGCCTGTTTTGTCGGACAAAATAAATTTTACAAGACACATATGTGGATGTTAAATAGATCAGTGCAGGTAGATTTGAATACATTTACACTTGGCTAGATTAGAAAAGAAGCAATTCAAGGTATTTCAGTTGTCTGCACGTAAACCAGTTGATGATCAGGCTATGGAAAGATGCCATCGTGTTGCTCTTCGAAAGTGGGAAACAAAAATCACTCCAAAGGACAATCTTTTAAGTGCATTTTGTGTCCTGACATTGAGTGGATCAAAACTGAATTATGATGCTTCCTGTATTCTGTTGTTCCCAGTGGTGAGTCTGTGACGATCTAAAAGGACAGAGCTGTCCTCTGAGAAAAACTACAGCCCCTAATCTCATGTTGCCCAGAGCTTCCGTGTCCTGGACCGGCACAGGTCCACTGTGCCCGCAGCGTGGAAAAGTACCTTTCATGTGCTTTTTCACACTTAGCTTCCAGGAGCAGGTCCTCTTCTGTTCCAGTCCCATCCACAGGCCTCTCTTCCGTCTGGCACCCACCCCCCGCTCCCCATTCCTACCAGAGGAACAGACTGTTACAAGGTTTCCTGCAGGGAGCCCCGCGTTGTTAAAGGGAAGGTCCGGAGTTCTGTGACGGTATGTGGTATGGAAGGCAGAGGGGTGCTGGACTTCTTCCTCTGCACGTGATTCCATCCTCCCCAAACCTCCAAAAACACATCTGGTGCAAGTGTCCTGAGACTCTAAAGTGACGAAGTTGGGGACCCCAGAAGAGAAGAGAAATGCCATGCCTCTATGAAAGATTTATATAAAAGATGCTCGCGGCCTTTATTTTTTGCTATCGCCTAAATATGCTCTGTAAAATGCTAAAGAAAATTAAAAATGTATTTTCAATCCTATGGGAAAGGAATCTCTCTTTTGTCAAGGGTTCATACCAGATGGTCATTGCTTTTTCCTCACCAGCTCTCCAAAATCTCTCCTTTATGTTTAGAAGCCTCTTGATTAAAAAAAAAAAAGAAAAAAGTTCCAAAAAGGTGATCATATATAGGCTTATGTCCCATAGCTTTAATTGGTGGCGACTATGTACTGCCACTGATGTTGGATAGTGAGTACTTCCAAACGTAGTGAATTGAAAGGACAAGCATTTATTATTTCTCATGTGCCTGTAGGTCAGCTGGGTGTTCAGCTGATCTGACCTGGGCTTGGCTGACTTGTGCTGGGCTTGCTCATGTGCCTGTCTGGTCTGCTGACAGGTTGCCTGGTTCTGGACGGTCCAGATGGACCCAGTGGGACAGGT